TCCACCCAGACTAAAATGGGTAGCAGGAATTGTAATAAGAAGTAAATGCGACTAGTGTCATATTTATCACATCACCTATCGAGTTCTAGTGCTACTACCTCTACCACAACCACTACAGCAAAATAAAAAGCTGTCACTATTGTCTTGTGTTTAGCACACTTTTAGGTCGGTATAGGAAGAGCTGCCGTGAGCCCGAGATTTAGGGCCGCATGGCTAGTGCTGTCACCACAGACTGTTCAGATTAGGAGCTAGAATTATCCTGTTACTACTACAGCTACTGCTGCTATGAGCAGAATAATCTTGGACCACCGTGGTTACAGTGACTTCTCCGACATTGGCAGTAGTCATGTCATTTATGTCAAGTGAGACGCATTTCGCGAAGAAGATCGTGTCGAGGATGGTGCACAAAAGAGAGCAGTCAGACAATAACATTTTACCAAGGGCAAGAGTCGTTTGATTAATCACCACATAACGGGCGTTATTAGCGATTGCTGCTCTCGTGGAGCTATCGAGTAAAAGATCTGAGAACCTATGGATCTGCCTGGAATGCTATGATGATATTCCTCATCAATCAATAATCTTTCCCATACACTCTTTCAGCAACTCTTTTTATTATTCCCACAATTATTCATTCCGACTTGTTTTTATTCCCACATCTTTACATTTCCAAACTGTCCTTGACTGACTGACTGACTTTCTACCCCACTAGGACATCACACAAGCGATAAACACCCTATGACACAAAGTGCCACCATGTGGATGAGGATCGCCGTCCTAGAAACCGCGTTCAGACAATTGGCCATATTTATGGCCTGCCTGGCAAAAGCTAGGGTGGGGCTTCAAATAACAAAAAATTTCGTCCTTAAAAGGACGAAATTAGGAGAAAGTAAACAAAAACTGTCCTTGGATTGGATTGGATTGGATTTTTTTACCCCACCAGGACATCACACAAGCGATAAACACCCGATGACACAAAGTGCCACCATGCGGATGAGGATCACCGTGGAGAGGTCTCAGAAACCGCGTTCAGACATTTGGCCATAATAATGACCTGCCTATATTGCGGCCCCTGGCAAAAGCCAGAGTGGGGCTTCAAATAACAAAAAATAACGTCCTAAGAAGGACGAAAAGGTTGAATCTAAAAAAAACTGTCCTTCGGCAACTCTTCGTCTTATACAGTTATCTGAGGTCAACAGTCAAAGTTCGCCTAGCAACTCAAATAAAAACTAGCACCGGGAACACGGCAACGAAAACAAAATCAGATCGTTGAAAAAACAAAACTAAGATGCCGATGTAATCGTCGCTGGAGTTATGTTGTTAGTGCTTTGTGCGACATTCTTATATAAAAACACGCGCGTATTCGAATGCAAGGTTGAGTGACAATTTCAAAGCAATCGGTGAAAAACTTTCGGAGATTAACGATTAGGGACAAACGAACAAACATTTATCTATACATATATCCATAGAAGCCGCCGTGGTGTGGCGGCTAGATGCTTCCCGCGGGAGCCGGATTTGTTTCGAAAATGACCTTGCTTTCCATGTCGACCCGGTCTTAAATGGGTACCGGTAGAAGTGAAGGCGACCGGTGTGATGTTGACCGAGTGCTGGCCTTTATACTCAATAGGTCTGAAGGGATGGAAAATGGTCCTTTAGATATATCTATATAACCAGTAGTGTGTGTTGTGTGTGTGTGTATACTCAGTCGCAGTTGAAAAGTGCAATGTTCAGCCGTACCTCATCTTATTTGAAAGAATCAAAATGAAGTGCCGAGATTAGACTCTCACAGTGTCTATGGAGAGAACTAGCAAAGAATTTTCAGTACACACACACACCACCCACCCACACACACACACCCCACCCATATATATATATATATATATATATATATATAAAGACCACTTTTTTTTATCGTTAACTCAAGTTAATCAAAATATGATCTCAACCCCACCCCCCCCCCCCTTTTTTTGGTGTTTGTTTTTCTCATAACCCGCCAATCCTTAACAAAGAAAAAACGAAAAAAAAGCCAAAAAAAGAAACAAACTGGCTATTAAATTAAAAGTTTGATTTCCATTTTGTGGAAAGCAGCAGCCAAAGAAAGACAGCAGAAGATTTTAGGGTTAGCAAGCAGCATCCACAAATATCAACGTGAGCACCTGGAGAGATGTGGCAAGGAAAGCGAAGATCTACAACGGAGATTAATTCAATCTCCTTTCGAAGATGACACATTAGGCTGGTACAAACAATGAGGACAGATATTTCCAGAGTCTTTGGTCCTATGGAGCTGCTAAAAAATTGCTTAGAAATTTGGGGTAAGTAAAAGTTACAGGACCCTTTTCCACTCCTTCAGGCAAACTGGGCATATAGGGCTAGATCTATAGTTTATAGATCAATCTGCACTTTGTGGGTGATGTGATCAACACCTCGGCGGCTACCTTTACTTCCCAACATCGCTTCAAAGATCCCGGGTAGTTAATGTTCTTTGGATATTTTCTCTGCGAAATGCAGGAGTGATGGGAAATTAACAGGCAGGCAGAGTGGCTGGTTCTGCGCCAATGGGTGTTGAATTTATTCATGATCAGCTAGATGTGGCCAAGGGTCTTTGGGTGAGAGTGAAACATGGGGAGGCATCAATGGATCATTTCCCAGCCCAATTAAAAGCTGCCGATATCCGCCTAACCGACCAGGTTCAACATATGGCAGCAAATAACCAAACTCAGGCGAAATTATTCGCCACATAGAACCACAACTCAGGCGAAATTATTCGCCACATAGAACCACAACTCAGGCGAAATTATTCGCCACATAGAACCACAACTCAGGCGAAATTATTCGCCACATAGAACCACAACTCAGGACCAGTTAACAAATGAATCTCCACTTAATATGGCAGGCTTTCGGGCGGCTAAAAGAGGATCAAGCTTGTAATTTGTGTTTCCTATTATTCCTAATCCTATGGATCATTACAGTCTGCAGAGTGACCGGAGGGTCTGGTACACACTCTACACTGAGAGGTGAAGCAAGACAGACATATAGTCAAACTGTTACTGGAACCAGCGGAACTGGAAACACTTCGCTGGCTGCTGTAGATGAGGATGGAGCGCTTATGTGAATTTCTCGAGTGCTGTGATGTTCATTCTTAGCTCAACATAAAGGTTCTACTGTGTATGTGTGTTTGTTTATGTAAACAGCATAAGAAACAATGGCAGAATGTGAAGAAAATTTTTAAAAAAAATTGGCAAACACAGTGGAGCGTCGTCAAGGACAAGAAAGAAGCAAATACACCATTAGGATGCCAGATTAAAGTGTTTATTTCCTAATACGACATTTAAAATCTTGTAAAACTGGAGAATGATACGTTTACCCTGGTGCACTGTAAAAAAAAAATCATCTGTAAAGTAAAGGTCTTCTTTTAATGCCATGATGATTTCTCGTGCAGGTTCCGGGACTGTGAACCATGCAGGACCTGCATCTGACAGGCGTGTTTATAGAGGCAACCCACCTGATGGTTTGATCTGAACATACGAAACCGAACGCAAAAAAAGAAGGCCACTAAGACTGCCAAGCTACAGACTCCGTTCTACTGTTCCTTCCAGAGTGTTTCGCCAAAAAATAAGACCAGGTGTTCTTATTAGTTTTTGCTCTAAATCATGCATTAGGTTTATTTTCAGGGAATCTTTTATCCTTTTCTGGTATTACTTCTTCTTCAACGATCTCTGGTCATTCACGTAATCTGCTGTAGGTCATAAATTTTGATGTAAGATCAAGGTTTCTTATATTTTCTCAGAATAAACCTGCTATAGATGTGGGAACAAGTCCCGATTTGATCTGGCCCATTACACAAGGTGGTGGTACCCATAGTTTCATAGGTATTTTCACATGGTCATTAAGTTGTCCTTATGTGTCAATTTCGATCTCTCCCTTCCCTCAACCCCTAAACACATGCATGTACACGCACGCATGTACACGCACGCACGCACTCACACATAAACTGATTGGCAAATCCTGTTTCTGGAGACAGCTTTGTGTAAGTTTACTGTCTAGACAGTTGCAGTACCCTGCTGACAAAATCTGTCTTCTTGAGCTACCAAAATTAAAACACTGAGAGTACAGTCTGCTAGTCGAGGCAGTTTTCTCTATCGATCATCGTGTTCCTCAACATAGCTCAACCACAGAAGACATTACTTGCGCGAACAACACAATGCATCTTGTGATGAAAATGCTCATACATTAGAAGTCCAGGATAACAGACACATCAACACAGGATGACAATAGCCATTCTACCCACCAAGCAATGGATCACAAACTGTAGCTTCCCGACAACGCTTAACAGCAAAAGTGGAAATTGATGATGATGATGATGAGTGTCAAAATTATTGACCTTTATTTACTGTTACTGATCACTGTATCAATACTTTTCAACCAATAAAGGAAGTTGATCCCACTGATGATTTTTATCAGAGCTTGTATTTTTTAAGGATAGCAATCCTGGGGGGGGGGGGGGGGGGGGAGAGTTCACCCACTGCCTCCCTAACAAGTATGCCATGGGAGTCGATTAATTAGTGGTTTCCTCTGGAGTTGAGTTGCATCTGCATCAGAGGCAGGGATACAACACTCAGCATACAAATAAGCCAGATCTTTAAATACATGAGTATGAAAAACTCAAGTTCTGGATAAAGACCGAAGTCCAGGAGTGGACGAACAACCAGAACTTTCTGCCAGAGTTTACTGCCGGTGAATGCCAAGAAGAAGAAAAAGACTTCTTTCACTGAGCATTAAGATGGCTTCTCTAGTTTCAACATATGCTACTTTAACAGACAAAAAATATCTTATCTGACAGTTCTCGACAAACGTACAAAAATCAAATTATTTGCATCTAAACAGCATACAAAATTCAGTGTATAAAACAATGTATCTAAACAGTAAACAAGAAAAAAAAAAAAATAATTTACAAATCTTGTACACAAATAGTTTTCAGTTATACAAACTTACTATGAACCAATTTAAAGGTGTGTCACAATAATGTCTTTGGTATGTTTTCCTAACTGTTTTAGGCCAAATTTATTCTCAGCAACATTTATGTCAACATTACAATCTGCATCGCCTTCACACCTGGAAAATGAAGTTGTGGGGCTACTATTATCATCTTTACGACACCTATATGGCCAACAACTGTCTGGCAACTCCAGCTGTCCTGAATCTTCGCTGACAACATCAGATGAACCAATAGCCACTGATCTTTGTAAAGCTTCAGAAGACGCTGCTATTTTCTCATTAACTTCACTAGAAAATACTGGCTGAAGTTGTGAGGAATATAAGTCTTTCGAAGGGAGACTGATGTAAGTTTTCTCGGTGTATGGATCTTCTGTTGCAGTTTCAACCTTCTCAGATTTGCTGTACATTTCTGGTGCATCATAGGATGATGGATTTTGAGATTTAGGGTCAGGATTGTATTTTCTTTCCGATGATGCAGTCGGTGATAATCTTTGCTTGTTTTCTGGGGCAGCAGCGGCAGCTGTTTCATGCTTCACTGGTGTTTCATACTCCTCACTGCTATCATACGGATTATTATTTAAGCCATTACTGAAACATGAATCTGTGAAAAGAAAAACAGCGTAAATACGAAAGTAAAAGTAAAGGACTCTTCCATTCCTTAAGGTGTAAAGGGCATATGGGGCTAGACTAATATTTTATAAACAAATCGGTGCTGGGTGGGTGACGCGGTGAGCAACACTGTGGCCGTCTTTACTTCCCAGAACTGTAGCTGGTACCCACTCAAGACTGGGTCGACAGGAGAGCCAACGTCATTTAAAAAAAATAATCTCTGGCTCCGTCAGGATCTGAACCTACAACCCTCCGATCTGCAGGCAAACGTCTAGCCGCGACACCACAGTGGCTATCTATAAATACAAGCAGCCAAAATATCAAAAGCTTTTCACAAATATAAGAGCTAAACAAAAAGCCTGTGGTAAAGGATCCTTGTTTACGTCAGTAGCAGATGAATCATATGATGCCATATTTGTATTTTTATAGAACAGCGCGCGCTGGGTGATGCGGTTCAAGATCATGGCAACCACCTTTACTTCCTGGGACATTACCTGGTACCCATTTTAGACTGGGTCGACATGGGAGGTAAGGTCTTTTGTGAAGAAAAAAAAAAAAGAGGTGGGGGGGGGGGAAGAATGCCACTTGATGCAGACTGGAACTCAAGACACTCAGTCTGGCAGGTAAGCAGGTAGCTACTATGGCTCCCTGTAAATACTAGGGCGGTTTAAAAAAAATAATGCCTCTAAGGACATAACTTTGTTAATATGCACACAAAATATACATTTCTGGAAAGCTTGGGGTGTCTTTTAAGTAAGCACTGGAGCGTCTAAACATTGATGACAACTTGGCGCATCCAGCACATAATCCCCCGATCTGGTACCTTGTGATTTCCCTCTGTTCCCAAACCTCAGGGAACATTTCAAGGGAAACAGATATTCGTCTGATGAGGATGCGGCAGCTGATATGCGTTGCTGGTTTAAGAAAAATGAGCAGATTTTTTTCTTGACCTGTTCTACGCTAAGTGTGTGTGTGTGTGTGCGTGCGTGCGTGTGTGTGTGCGTGCGTGTGTGTGTGTGAGTGTGTGCGCGCCCTCGCACGTGTGCGTGTGGAAGGTGGTGGTGAATACGTTGAAAAAATAACTGCACCTTACTTAAAAACATCCCAAGTTTTCAACATGTATATTTCGTGCATACACTGTATATATTAACAAAATTATCTCATTGGAGGCATTAGTTTTTAAACTGCCGTACTTTAAGGGGCTGCAAACATGAAACAGAATTTTCGAACTTTGTTCTCAGTAGAACATATCCTTTGGCACGTAAGAAAATACCCGCATAAGAAGCATGTCATAAAAGGCGACTAATCAGGAAAGTTCGATTCGAAGTCAGAGTGCATCTGCCTGAAAGATAAAGAACCAACAATCTGTATATAAATAAATCAGATCTGTAAAATGGATATGCTTGCAAGATTCAAGGCCTGGAACAAACCAAAGCCCATAAGTGGACGAACAACCAAGACTTTCTGCTGGTTTTTACAGCCGTTAAACGCTAAGACGAATAATAATATTTAAATATGATCAAACACTTACTACACTGTGGTCTTCGAGCAGTAGAGGATAGGCAGAAAAGAATCTGCTGCCTGTGATTGTGGAGCAGAAAGACAGACCCCTGAGCACATACTGCAGTACTGCCCTTAACTTTCCCAGCAAAGACTGTGGATCTAGCCCAAGGGAGCCACATTGCGAGAGAAGCTGTGGGGGACCGGTGGCGACCTTAAATGCACAATCCTATTTGTGACCCAGACGGGACTCAATGTTTAGCATGACTGATGTCGAACGCAGAAGAAGAAGAAGAAAAAAACTTACTCTTGCGGGAATCAATCAGTGTAGATGTAACACTGACAGTGTTTCCCAGAAATGTGGAAGATTCAGATCTGGAGTGGTTGTCGTGTTTGGCCAAGTGGTGTGTGGCTGCAACTGCAGTCACCGCTGCAAGAATTAACACATTGTAAACATAAATATCTATGCTGGTCGGTCAAAAGTTGGTCTTTACTACTGTATATCTTGATCATTATCATCATCATCATCAATTTCCACTTATGCAATTAAGCGTTGTCGGGAGGAACATTGTGTATATCTTGATGTTAGAAAGAAACCTTGAGGCTGAATAAAACTGAAACCTTGATACTTTATAAATAAATCAGTTCTTTTTACGATGTCCGGTCCAAATACACACCGGCTGACCTTTCATTCAAGCTTGCTCAGGCTGGTCTATGTTACAGGGGTATCACGTTGTACTGTCTTCGCAAAGCTTTGTGCGTTGTGTGTTGCTCGTCGTGAGCAGCGGCCGCCGACGCTGTGTATAATATAGCTTTCTCAGACTTAGAGTACGACATGAATTACTCACAAGAAAATGTCAACAGTTCGGAAACCACGGGTCGTACGATGCACTCTCTCATGCGACGTAGGCAGAGACTGTTGGGTAGGGGGTTGGGGTTAAGGCCAGTTCTAGATGTTGTGGGGTCGTTAAAAGCGGTCACATGGTGTAATATAGTACACGTGGCATCGCCGATGATAGCACCATAATAATAATAAGAACTCTACAGCGAAACATTCATAGCAGGGGTCCACCGTTCATAGGTAGAAAGATTCCTCGCCGACGATTGTTTCGGCCCATTACTCCTATACAGTCTGGGAAGGTGGGCCGACCTGGGTCACGACTCCAGACCGCGATCTTTCCCTGCTGCACTTTATCGGACTCTCAGACAGGAACAAGACGTTATAGTGACTTTGCAACAGGTAATAGATTTGATGTTATATTGTCGCGGCGGTAGCAAATTAGCCGTCTACCTTCACGACCAGAGTGACAAGTTTATGGGTGGTTCATCGGACAGTTGTTAGACTTTGGCATTTGGCAGAGAGACACTGGAAGACATTTATCAGACACTTTGGATTTATAGGGAGAAAATTTTTCTTTCCACTAGGGGTTTGCACCAGTCGACCGAGGCCCATCCCCCACGACGTCCTGTTGCGTCCAAAGCCAGTTCGAAGTTCTTTCAGCAGCTTCGCCCAGTTGTTTTAGTGACCGTTCACGTTAGTTTTCTCTCAAGTCCAACTGCTTTAGCACACTGTATGTGGAAGTGGAGATAAGATCTCTTGTTCCTCGATGGCGAAGATGTTAACCGTGTACGCTTCGTCTCTCCTCAGACCGACCACGAGCTCATCGTATTTTTCGAGCATGTACAGGTAATTTTCTTGTATCCACAGTGTGAGCTGGCGCTTTTCTGCAGTGCAGAGCTATGTCAGGTCTTAGGCTGGTCTTCCGGATTAACTCTGGGTACTTTTCAAAACCAGGCTGGTCGACAGCCAGTAACCAGTCCCTCACACAGTCAAATATTGATGGAGCATTTGCGACGTTGTTTAATTTACCTTTAGAAATCTGCCCAGCCTTAAAAAAGCGCATGGTGGTGACGGTAGGAATGGTCCTCGTGTTGGCCCTCATCGTGGCTTGGTTCACCATGTTCGCTAACTCTTTCAGGACTTTGTTGTGCCGCCAAGCATATCGTCCCTTGCCTAGGGCTTTCTGGACGCGGACAATACGTGATCGAGCGTCTGCTTAGCTATGCAAAGTGGACATGTCGGATCGGTGGTCCCACACCATTTGGCCATGTTGGCGCCAGGGGGTAATACACCATAAGCAGATCTTATGATAAAGCTCAGCCGCAGCGGGGCCGCTCGTCAGATCTCAACCCATGTGAGTACTCGTGTCAGGGCGCTTTTGAGACCGATTCACTGGCCTTGCTGCGACTGTTGGGCTGCTTTCTGGACCCGAGTCTCGTTTTTGGTGTCCCTTATCTGCTGTATCACCGTGTCTCTGCGTTCTTCGGCTGAGGCTTTGGACGACTAGCTGACTTTTCCATGCCCTAGTCCGCGTCGGTCGGTTTGTGTGTAACCCATGACTTCTATTTCAGTGCTTCCTAAGCAGATTCTATCGCATCTACGACCTTTCATTTCGTACCTGTCTTTACAGTGGGCTGGACAGCTGTCACTATGGGTTCTAAAGACTCGCTCAGCATCATCACGAGTCTTACCTTGCCTTCCTAAAACTCTTTGGTTACTGATTTGAACGGAAGTACCAACTTAAGCCGGTTTTCAGTATAAAGCCAAATCGGTTAGACAAGGTGGTGCTTCAAATCATTTCCTCATGACTGTGTTGATTTTCTTCTCCATATTCTCCACTGCAGTCATGCTCACCTCGTACATGAGCAGCGGCCAGAGGAGCTTTGGAATCAGCTTGAATTGGAGACACCAGACCCTGAACTTCCCGATCAGCCTGCATCCCTTGATAGCAAGCAGGCCCGTTGCCAGTGACTCATTCATACCTCGGACTTCCGCTCTGCCACATAAGTTCCAATCTTCCAGAGCTGTGGGGATCCTTTTCCTTGCCAGCGTTTGAACTGCATGCCACACGATTTGTCAACGCGGTCTAACCTCTTCAGAATCGTGCAGGCTTCATACTAACTGCCCGTTATGATAGTTGTGTCATCCATAAATGCACGCAGTGGCGACATCCAGTGGTCCACAATTTGAAGTCCTTGCCCGTAGCCGGCAGCTCCGTCTAACATGACCTGCATGGCCATTAAGAACAGTATTGAAGAAATCGTACATTCCATTGCTATCCTAACCTGGAGTTCAGTCCATCTCGTAATAAACGAGTATAACGAACTTTGAGAAATTTTGCTCGATCATTTCGGTGATCTGTGCCGGTACGTGGAACACGCAAAGGGTCTGCCAAAATAGCCAATGGAGTATTGCCTCATTGGCGTTGGCGAGGTTTAACCATATCACATTCAAATTGGTTCTCTCTGCCTCAGATCTCTAGATACCATCCTTGATCACGCTCGTGTACTCAAGGCACCCGGGGAAGCCCGGGATTTCACCTTTCTGAACTTCTGTGTCAATGTATTTGTTCGCCATCAAATACTGTGCAAGCCTGCGTGCCATAACCAAGAAGATAATTTTTCCCTCAACATCCAACAGCGAGATAGGTTGGGAATGTAGACTCCGTTGGCTTTCTTTTGGCTCCACTTCAGCTAATCTTAGGAAGCAGTGAAGCATTCGGAGGAGTTTCAGTCAGCATTTATGCACCACGTATGATACACCGTTAAGTCCTGGGGCAAATTTGCCGCTGGTTCTCTTCACAAATTCGAAAATAAAACACGTCACCCCTGTAACATAGACTAGCCTGAGCAAGCATGAATGAAAGGTAAACCAGTGTGTAGTTGGGCTGGACGTCGTAATAAGAACCAGTAAATCAACCTAATTTATCCTGTTGTCAAAAAAAGGCAGTTACAACTTTACAGCAAACAGGTCACCCATTAACTGCTCCGTTCAATTAGCCATGGAAATCACATAGAATGTCCATTGTGGAAACACTGACACAGTCTCAGCAAATCTAAAAGTATAAACGTGCATTTAATGCATAAGACAGCTATCAGAAGGCCAACACACACAGTCCGACACTAGAAATTCAGTTCATCATAGAAGGAAACAACAGCTGCAGCATAATATAACAAAAGGATAGTGTTGATTTCAAAATAGAACAAACATTTAAACACGGAAAGTGTAATCTGAATACATGTCATGTAAGTGTTTCTCTTCTAAGATTATTCTAAAACAAAGGGGCTGTAAATCCCAACATTAGAGGGAGGTCTTGAGACTGAATACAGATGGATGCCAGGATACTTTATAAATAAATGAAATTAATAAAACAAGACGACAGAGTTGACTTCAAATCGATATACAGATCTGAACACGGAAAGTGTAATATCAATACATGTTAATATTATAATCAGTGGCGGTGCCTGATTGCCAATGCTGTCATTATAACCATTTCTCAACAATTTATTTTGAAAGCTAAGGGTTGTAACTGCATATGTAAACAAACAAAAAATTTGAACAGTCAGTTGCGCGACTTCAAGCATTAATACATAAAATAAATAGTCATTTAAACAAAAAATAAAAATATTTCACATTGACAAATAATGTTTATATTTTTTACTTGTATTATTATTTAACTGTAGAAATTATCAGCTTTACGTTAATTTAAAGATATATAGCAGCCCTATTTGTCTTCCTTACCTTGCACGTAAATTATTATTATACATTTAAAATATTATCTTTAATACCAATGTTTATCACTTTTTAAGAGTGATGTAGAACAGTGTGTTGTTCAGCTTGTGGCTAGTGCAGTCGCCAACAAACTGTGCAGGTTAGGATATTGATTTTTGCTCCTGACAGAAAATATCTTCAGTCATCATACCCAGGATCGAACCCCGGTCTCCCGCTTGAGAACCAGACAATCTAACCACACAGCGAACCACTCTTTTTTTTTAAACTTAGTTTTTGGTGAGCTACTTAGAAATAAAACACAAATATTTTTTAATGTAATCAAAGTAAAAGACACTTATCCATGCTTGCAGGCATATAGGGCACATAGGGCTAGACCTATATTTCAGAAAACAATCCATACAATCCTTTACTTTCCAGGTTTTCCCCTTAGTGGCCATTTAAAACTGGGTCAAGTAATTTATGAAAAAAATTTAGCTCTGTGAGGATCTGACCCCATGACCTTTGGATCTGCAGGTGATAATCTAGCCGCTACATCACGGCGGCTAACATTTTTCATGCACACAATTTTGATAATATTCTTTTTTTTTTTTTTTCAGGCAAAACTTTAAAATGTTATTTTAATGGTGACTTTTATCAGATCAAAGCACATCACATAACATTTAATTTTCATGCACCAGGTAACTATGCAAGTCAATCCTGCCATCACTTATTACCAACACTGGCTAAACAAAAAAAAACTAATCAAATGATACACGAAACAACTTATTGCAGTCCACTGTGATGTCGAAAACATGACCCATCAAATGCTGAGGAGTCCGAAAAAATATGGGTCTAGCAGCATCATATGCCTGGTGTGC